GCTTCCTAACTGCTGTAATCTTTTCTTGCACTTTTACTGTTCATGGCTTCACAGGCTCTGAGCACAAATCACTTTGGATTGTATTTGTATTAAAGCTTGGAGAACGGAGATCACAACCTTGATTTGACTTCCTCTTCCTATCTCTATGTAAAACACATCGTGCGTCATCTGAAGCAAAACAGCAATTTTTCTACAGCGCGTCGAGAGCAGTCAACACGGCCTGTAGCCTTGAGCACTGACTTGCAGACATGTCTTATTATATTCAAATCTGAATATCCGGCTCAAAATGCATCCGTTTTAGCACAAACCTTCCTGTTATCGATGAGCAAACAGCAGACCGACTCATGAACTGAATATCTGAAATCCTTCTCTCTGTCCTGGCTTCAGACTAATGACCTTCTGTTGCATTTCTACAAATGAATAATCTTGTTATTATTGGATAGGCACTTTAAATGTTAATCTAATCTTGTTCATCAGAGTAGGTACAAAAAATGTCGGCTTATCTCATTCCTGTGCCATTTCTTCTTCATTTTCAGCTTTATGAACAAGATTACTAATTTAAGAAGGCCCGTGTTGAACTCAGACTAAGACTTTATTTCAAGTAAATGCTGTTCTAGGCTTTCTACTCCAAATTGTATGTGTAATTTAACGTTACTTGACATTTCTTTGTATTGCCCTTTCATTAGTTTTCTTTTTGGCTTAGTCCCTTTATTAATTAGGGGTCGCCACAGCGGAATGAACTGCCAAATTATCCAGCATATGTTTTACGCAGCGGATACCCTACCAGCCACAACCCAACACTGGGAAACACCCATACACTTACATTCACACAAATACACTATGGCCAATTTAGCTTACCAAATTCACCTAAAGCGCATGACTTTGGACAGTGGGGGAAACCGGAGCACCCGGAAGAAATCCACAACAACATGGGGAGAACATGCAAACTCCACTTTATTAAATTAATAATATTACTTTATTATTATATTTAAACTGAAAAAATAAAAAACTGCTATTATTCTAGCCAAAATAAAACAAATAGGACTTTCTCCAAAATAAAAAATATTACAGGAAATACTGTGAAAACTTCTTTGCTCTGTTAAACATCATTTGGGAAATATTAAAAAAAGAAAACAAAAACTCAAAGGAGTAAATTCTATTTTGGGTTTTAAAAAAGTGCATTATAAATAAAATGTATTATTATTATTATTATTATTATTATTATTATTATTATCTCCTGACTTCCATGTGCAGCCAAGCTGCCATTGTAGATGGTGTATTTGGGAAAATGTTCTTACCCTTTGGTTTCAAGTGTGGTCCTGAAACAAATCTCAGTTTTAAGGGATATCTAGCCCTTCCTCTTAGCTCTACGCCTTTGGCACACCCCTAACCTTCACGTGGGTAAGGGGTAAGTGGAAGGGCTAAGGGGTAAAATTGGGATTGGGCCTTAATGTACAAAACTTAAACACTAACATTAACACACACTCATCATCTACATATTCCAGCTTCTGCGACTCCGCTAAATTAGGCTTTGTGAGCAGCAGGCAAGAAAGAAAGAAAGAAAAAAAAATCAATCAGACGATTAAATGCATCTACATTAAGCAGAATGAAAAGTTTTGATGGATTGCAGCAGAGCGGGGAAGCCAAATAAGCTCATAAAATGTGCATTAATGTTACATTATTCCATACAGTGGGGATTTGTTATGAACGCAGTGCTGGTTTGCTGAGCTTCCTAATTAACATTAACACGCTCTTAACACATGATTTATGCCAGATCGATTGTGTTTTTTAAAAGCAGCTCATAATGTAAAAATAGGTCTTTACTTACATATTATCATTGGTATTAATGATTATTATCATTTATTTCAAACATGTTAAAAAGAAAATAAATAAATAAATAAATAAATAAATATATATATATATATATATATATATATATATATATATATATATATATATATTTATTAGTGCTGTAAATCAATTAAAAAATTAACTAATTAATCACACCTTTTTAAAAAAATTAATCGCGATTAATCACATTTAAAATACTAAAACTTGTAATTTTGGCTATTTAAATGTAAAATAAATGTAAACGCAAGACAAAAACGATTTAAATTCAAAATATAATTGTTTAATAGAATTTTTGTTTAACTTGTAACACAGATTTCTTCATGTGAACAACATACCCACAATAAACCATCAAGATCCTGCTTGACAGCCATATTCATTACAGAAATTAAAACACAGGCATGTTAATGACATTTAAATTTCAAAACAATCAATGCCAATAAAGAAAACATTGATTTCCATGTTGGATTCTGAGTGGACTGCAAAAAAATGCCAAAATACAGGAATTGCAGATATGGAAAATGAAAAATTATAATAATAAACTATAGAATACAAACTGTTGCACTCATTGTAAAGTTTTATTGCTGTGAGTTGAGAACATTAATTATAGAGTAGAAACAATTTTGCTTAATCCTCCTTTACATTCATCCAGTTGCTAAGACTAGGAGTATCCGGCAAGTGCACAGAGACTCCCAAATGCCCGCAAATGAATGATAATTTCTTGCAAACCGGTCATTAAATACATTGCACACCCCTCTCGCCCCTACTCAGATACGTCACTCACTCCACCCCTGACACGGACACACACACAGACAGACACACACAACGCGCTGCAGACGTTTTGGCCCCAACGGCCTTCCATACTGGAGCGACTCCCCTCAGATCCAACACGCATGATCACGTTCATCAAATTTGCTTAAACTAAGCGTCCTAAAGTATTACTGTATTTCACAAGGATTCTGACCCAACAACGCGAAGCATACACTTTCGTTGCGTTTAATGAGGAAACACGCTAAACTTGGAGGGCTCATGCTGTTGTTCGTAATATTTATATTTTTTTGCTAATTAATGACCACCTCATGTGGAAATCTGAATCTTTCAGAGTCTGCTACTGTTCACCGGAAGTTCCATTTCAGCATTTCAGATGCGTACTTTAAAAGCCTTTCTGGCTAAATGAATGAAATACCTGGAGTGCTGAAATATAATTGGCTAAACTGGGATTGGCCAGGTTAAATGACAAAAACAAACACATCTTGTGGGTGGGGCTATGCATTTTGAATTACGGCTATGATGTTTGCAAACATATTATGGTATTTTTATGCTTAAGAAGAGTCAAAAACTTACATACAGCACCTTTAAAAGGTGCCATGAAATCAAAATGTACAATTATGATTTACTTTTTTTTAATTAATGTGTCCTTCTAACCTTTAATCACTCCCCTCCCTTTAAAAAAAAAAATCTCTTGTCTGATTGGTCTTTCCTGGTGCAAGGAGCAGGATTAACCTTTTACTCACCTGAGTTCAACCAATCACAACCCAGAAACATTTCGATCAAAACCAATCCTACAGCTCTACATTAGAGTTCTTGCTCATGCTTTCACTTAGTTAAAAGGCACAAGAAACAACATCTGCTGCAAAACGTAAAGTATAATCCAACAAAATGAACGTATTATAATTTTTTTTTTCCACCAAAGCTATGAGAACTGGCAGAATTTATTAAGTGTAGAGCATGAAGTGAAGTGCTCAGAGACCATTAAAGATGAAACTTCAACCAATTGCTGAAGATATAAATTAGTCAGACACGCAGGAGCACCCAAACCCAAATAGGACCATATGTTTACCTGAGGGTTCTGTCACGCTGCGCCAATTACTTCTGAGCACCTGGCAACCCACATCATTCTTCAGCAGGTCACATGAGGGTGAGCAGAATCATCTGAGCCTCTTCACTGCAGATTCACTGTAACAAAGAACACAACAGAAAGCAGTGTCAGGTCGCTCATGCTTGCTGTTAATGCTCATTGGTGGAAGATGTGTACTGAGGTCTGCTCCTTTTGGCTGATGCAAATCTTTAAAGGGATAGTTCACCCAGAAATGAAAATCCTGTCATCATTTATTCATGCCTCACTTGTTTCAAATCTTTAGGAGTTTTTTAGGCTAAAAATTTTGACCTTGAAAAATATTTTTAAAATGTAAAAACCCATTTTATTTCATCCAAACTACTTTCTTCAGAAGAAAAAAAATCAACCCAAGCTCATTCTGAAAACGTAGTCCCGCGGACGTTTCTGGAGACAGCGGAATACGTCCCGGCAGGTACGTACGGCTGCATTAATTTTTTTCAAGCGAACGCTATGGGGTGGTGTGACGCTGTTCCCTTTCGCGCTTGCCGGCCGACCACTTACCTCCTTGTGGAGGGCTTCCCCGCTGCAACCCGTTTGTCCACTTAGCTCACCGTGTACGTCGGCAGGCTTGAGATGCAGAGAGGAGTTGACCACGGCGATCGATTTCAAGTCCAGGGAAGAGCGGTTCCAGCAATCAGGTAAGACAAAAACAGAATCCCAAAAATGAGAAGTGAGAACGTGGTGAAATCCGAAAACGCGGTAGAAAAAAAAAAAAATTAAATCAGGGCTTTTCTTTTTTTGGATGGCTTTTGTAAACTGTTGCTCGGGTTTAGGGAAGTAAGCGGGCGGGCGAGTCAATCGGTAAAATTGATTGGGTTCAGAGAAGGAGGAGGGGGGGTAAGCCGAATGGCGGTCGCGCAGTCAATCATCCGGTCAGTCGGACAGCGGCCTCTGGTGGGTTCACGCGAGAACAGCACAGGCACGAAATGCACAGCGACCTCTCGCGGATTCGCAAAAACAAAAACTGCAGCCCTACGTACCCGCCGGGACGTATTCCGCGGACTCCAGAAACGTCCGCGGGACTACGTTTCCACAATGAGCCTGGGTTGAAAAAAATAGTATAGGATATAGTGTGAAATTGTCCTTACTCACAAAGTATTAATGATTTTGTCTCTTTATTCCTATACAAAGAATTAAAGAGATAGTTCTCCCAAAAATGTCAATTATGTCATCATTTAATCACCCTTTACTTGTTTCAAACCTTTAAGTTTCTTTCTTCTGTTGAACAAAAGAGAAGATATTTTGAAAAATGCAGAAAACCGGTAACCATTGACTTCCATAGTATTTGTTGTTCCTACTATGGAAGTCAACATTGCAGTTTTTCTTTAGTGTTCAAGAAAAGAAACTCAAAAGTTTGAAACAAGTAAAGGGTGAGTAAATAGTAAGTCAATTTCACTTTCAGACATTAAAAATATAATGTTATAACGTTTATATGTTATTAAATATGTTATTATTATTATGCTTATTTCAATATTTTAATTGCGTTTTTTCCAGATAATATGCAAACTTATAAATATAAAAAATAAAAGTCCTGTCAGCAGAGATGACATCCAATATATAACAAAAACAAGAAAACTGTACAACTTAAATCAAACCTAAACATTTCTACCCCTTTTCTAAGCACCATCTCCCACCACTCCCTATTTCCTGAGGTCTTCAATAAGAATGCAAAGATGAATCAAGACACACATAAATAATAAACCAAGTGAAAAAAATAATAAATGAATGAATAAACAAACAAGCAAACAAACAAACAAACAAACAAACAAATAAAAAATAAATAAATAAATAAATAAATAAATAAATAAATAAATAAATAAATAAATAAATAAATAAATAAATAAATAAATAAATAAATAAATAAATACATACATACATACATACATACATACATACATAAATAAATATGGAAGTAGAAAATGTAAAGTAAATTCTAAAAGTCTCTCTTTCTCCCTTTTGAAATTCTAATCAGCAGGTCCTAAAATGTTAAGGTTCTCAATCACAGACAGTATGGGACTCCATGTTTTGTTAAAGGAGTTCAGTGATCCTTTAAAACAATGTCTCAGTTTCTCAAGATAGATGCAACGTAGAACCTCTCTAATCCAGTGTTCTGAGGATGGAGGGGACAGGAATAGGAATAGGAACGCAACTTATCATAAATGTTGTACAGGAGTCTTAATAAAGGCATAAGATTCAGTGTCACGACCGCACTGACAATCAGATGTAAGACTATTACTGCATTTTTCAAGATAAAGACCAAATCACAACAAAACACAACAGGACTTCTGAGATCAGTGTCGCATCACACACAGGGCTCGGTGTAGGCGCACATATTGGATTTTACATGAAGAGAAGTCAAAATTGTGTGGCAAAATTGAGCAGCATGATGCAAATCTGAGCCTAAAGCATGTCAAAAATGCAGCAGTAATGACATTGTTATTGAAAACAGCAGAATGCCTTGCCTTTCTGAACACACAAACAGGTACATTTACTGTTGAGGAAGTTTATTTCAGTGCAAAAATTTAGCACATGATATCTGTAATAGTGGTGTTTTGGGTACAATAGCTTATTCTTAGATAACCTTTTAAACAACTAATCACCCTGCATTACTGGGGAAATGTTATTTTATGCTTGAAAAAATAATAATCTAAAAAGAAAAGAAAGTTTCACTAAACTATTTTAATTATTAAATATTAAAATACATAATTTATTGACTGTTATACTTATATATAATTCTATAGTTATAGATCTACTTAAAATAACCACCTGCACTGTTGACTTGACAATGGTTGCAAACATAACAAACTAAAATAACCATGAGGGAATGCTCTGTATAAGTTATTCAAATACTTCAAGTATACTTCATACTACTTAAAATAGCCACCTGCAATGTTGTGGGGATATTTTATGGTTTACTAAATTTTTTTAACGTTATTTTACTATTTTTTAACGTACTAAAATACGTTAAAATTACTTAATACTTAAAATACTACTTGAACTAACCACCTGCAATGATGCCAAAATACAAACCTAAAATTAATGTTTACCTATAACCTAATTCGTTATTTTAAAATGTAATGGAAACTAAAACATTAAGGGGTAAGTAACCTAAAAATAACCACCATGCAACGTTGTGACAACGCGTTGTGTACTTTTTGGAAGCAAAAATAACAACCTAAAAGAGTCATGAGGGAATGTTCTGTGTAAATTATTGAAATATTTTAAATGTAGGCAGCACGGTGGAGCAGTGGGTAGCACGATCGCCTCGTAGTAGGAAGGTTGCTGGTTCAAGCCCTGGCTGGGTCAGGTGGTGTTTCTGTGTGGAGTTTGCATGTTCTCCCCGTGTTTGCGTAGGTTTCCTCCGGTTTCTCTGGTTTCCCCCACAAGTCCAAAGACATATGGTATAGGTGAATAGGGTAGGCTAAATTGTCTGTAGTGTACAGTATGTGTGTGAATGAGTGTGTACGGATGTTTCCCAGTGATGGGTTGCAGTTGAATTTCAAATGTACTTAATACTTAAAATACTTAAAAGCTACTTAAAATAACCACCTGCAACGTTGTGGGAATGTTATTTTAGACTTGCCAAAATAATAACATATGTTGTACAAATTGTACAAATGTTCACCTATAATGTAACTGGTATTTTAAAAATAACCAAATGGGAACCAAAAATAAAACTAATAATTAAGGGGAATGTTATGACCTAAAAATAACCATCCTGCAACGTTGTGTCAGTGGTTCTTTTTGGTTGAAAAAAAATAACAACCTAAAATAACCATGAGGGAATGTTCTGCATAAGTTATTAAAATACTTCAAATGTACTTGAAGTAACAGCCCGATCTCATGAGGAAATGTAAGTATTTTACGTTTTGTCAGTTTAGTGGCTAAATAGTACAAATTCATACGAGCTCAGTTCCACGAAAATGTAAGATTTTAAAAAGGAGGCGTGACACCCAACCCCACCCCTGAACCCAAACGTCATTGGGCGATGAGCAAATCATACTAAATTTCAGGAATTAGATAGTTTGATCAGGTGTGTTTAATTAGAGTTGGAACTAGACTGTGCAGGCCTGCGGCCCTCCAGGAATTGAGTTTGACATCCCTGTTCTAAGTTATGAAAACACCTAAAAGCTACTTAATATTGTCAGGGTTGGTGAGGGGAAATGGGGAAAAAGGAGCGAGGACTCAAGTGCAGGAAAAATGGGAATTTATTAAATAATAAAAATAAAATAAAATGCAAAATAAACTACCCCGAGGGGGAAAACATTAACAAAACAAATGCATACACATACAAACAGGACTGGGCAGGCTGGCAAGGATGAGGACTGGAAACACGACAGAACAAGACTTCAAACAACAACATGTGATGACGAACTGGTACAGGACAGCAAATGTGAGGAGTATATAAACTGTAGAAAATTAACACACAAACAGGTGAACACAATTAACTAATAATGGGTTAACAAGGAGGGTGGGACAAGACAATAGACGGGAGAGCGCATGACACAGAGAGACAACACAAGCCATGCGCTCACTTAACAGGACAAGAACATGCAGCCAATGAGAGAACTCATTAACCGCATGTTCATGACAACAAACACAACACTGAAGCACACGACAAAAGCACGTGACCACAATGTTAACACCGAGCCACGTGCTTTGACAAGAGACGCAAGACACGAGCACACGATAGATAAACACCTTACCGTGCGCTCACACATACATACAGCAACGCGCATGCTTCATCTCAGCGCCAACCAAAACTGAAACCAACTAGACGGAGGCGCCGAGAATAAAGCAGCGCGCTGCTGACAGAACAAACACTAGTACAAGAGCGCGTGCGTCTGAGGGACGCAGAGTGTGCGCGGCCACATCAAGCGGCAGCGCACACACTCTGCGTACACCCACGACGGCGCGCGCACACACAGAGACAGAAACAGGACCAGACATGAGTAGTGTCAGAGCTCTGCCACCAAAACAAGAATTTACAAGACCAAAGTGGCAGAACCCTGACAAATATAACCACCTGCAAGGTTGTGTAAATGTTATTTTAGGGTTG